TATTTGAACCTGCATAACATATTATCCCATATAATGTACTGTCTCTTAAACATTTTTGTTCCATTCTTCAGCAAATACATCCTTAACATTATGTATCATCCTGACTGTTTTATTTTTGTATTAACCACTGATGCTAAAACATTTCCTATTACTAGGAATATTCTATTGTTTCCCTTCAGTGCCATAGGTTAGCAGTGTCGACCTTAGTTGGTGATTTCCCAGTTCCTGATGCTGGAGATGCATTAGCCAACAGACTTTGTTTATTTTTGTGTGTGGGGGGGGGGTTTCCTCTCTTCCTTAAGGCTGCTCTACCCAACTACAAGTGAGTCAGGGGACCTGGTTAAAACATGGCTGGCTCCTGACCCAGTACACTAGGGTTAACATTTCCATTATTAAATTGGAAAGTCTATTATATTGGAAACACAGTTAGGTCTGCTCCACAGAGTACAGTGTTGTAGAATCTATTTGACTCTCAAAACAAGCTTTCAAATGGCTGGGTTACTTAAATGTAATACTAATGGCCACATTGTGATACACTTACCTATGTTGAATAGTACATTACATCATGAATACGTCTACTCTATAAGAGGTACTACTCGATAGGAGCAAGAGTATCACAGCCTAGCTATGAAGTGAGTGTGGTTCATTTGGCTAACTATAAATCTTTCTTGTAAGAATTTTTGGTTTTAAATTACTGATTTAATGAATATTTCAGCTGGGAATATGTCTCTTAACTTGGGATATTTTAAAATTTTCTGGAGATTGGAAATTCTGGGGTACAACTGTAAATGCTAACAACCAGACACTCACTATTAATTGATCCATGCAAAAGTTAACCATAACTGAGAGGGGAGTGTCAGCTTTCACTGAATTTTCTTGCTTTTACTGCTTTTTAAATCACAGTTAGAATTATTTCTATGTAATTTTTGTATATCAAGTTAGAGTTGGATCAGAAAGATATAGCAATTTAGAAAGTTGCAGGTGCCTGTGAATACTGGGTTTGTTTAGATGACCACAGATGTCAACGTATAGGGACTGTCCATACGAACACTTAACACTGGCAAGTTGGAGTGTTAATCTACCCCACACTAGCCAGCTGTGCACTAAAGTGTCTGTGTGGACCCTGCTGCTGCACACTGAAAGTTCCGAAGTGCACTTAAATTATGTTGCTTCAAAATGGGAGTAGATCAGGGATCGGCAACCTTTGGCACGCGGCTCACCAGGGTAAGCACCCTGGCAGACTGGGACGGTTTGTTTACCTGCCGCATCCGCAGGTTCGGCCGATCGCGGCTCCCACTAGCTGCGGTTCGCCGTCCCAGGCCAATGGGGGCTGTGTGAAGTGGCACGGGCCGAGGGATATGCTGGCCACCTCTTCCCGCCGCCCCCA